CGGCAGGGGGTAAAAATCATAGACATGCCTAAAAAGTCTCTCGGGGGTTTACTTTACAATTTGATCTTATATATCCAATTATTCTGCACGGCTAGCGGATCAGCGAGGATAAGTAAGGAGGTCGAAATTCAAATTTTCTGGGAGATTATCTGATGTGCTGATCACGAATATACATTCGATGGTCATGTAGAGATTTAGTGGGTCTATGTTAAACAACTCTCCAGTTCCAGCCTAAGCTAGAAATACTAATTAGAGGATCAACCTACTTATTTCTAGTCAACGCTGGCGATATGGAAGGATACATCCTAATTTCTTTCGCCAGCGCTCCAACTCCTCTAAATCACGTTACAACTAAATCGGTTAGATTGATGACTACCGTGTACCTACGTATTCATAAAATAACACTTGTATGAGGAATGGATGTCACCTAAATAAGGACTTACATGCTGGACATGATATTTTGATTAGGATGTCAAACTACTGACTTGTGGATAGTTAATTTCACGAGTACAGTTCCAGCTCATTCCGAAGATGAACATGACGCAGAGGAATTCAGGAAAGAGTTTGGCGATGAACCTCAACCGAACGGTTTCAGGTATGTTTTGGTAGTTGTTTTTAAAACCCCGTGCATATCTGTTTTTAGCCAAGGCATTGAAGAAGAGCATATAGAACTTCGCGATGGATCGCAATTTTCAAATGTTAAGCCGAAAATACTTACAGGAAGGAAACTGCCTACACTTCGGTTTTTATACTGGTTAGTTATTGATCTTCAATATAACCTCAAGATCTTATTCTTTTTTTTCAAGTTAAGACAAGGTTTAATGTTTCCTTTCTTTGAGATTTGCTTTTTGGTATCATCTCGCCTTTTAAATAGAACTCGGCTTTTTCTTAAAGTTCATCGCTATATCCTTCCTATCTTATCTTTTCATATTAGCAATAAAAATTCGTAAAAAATGTTTTCGTGCCTTTTGTTAAGAGGGGATCGGCTCATCAGCAGCTTAACGCCATCCTACTGGTCAAACGGCTAAGAAACTGCTTACGGGACAAAAACTATGCCTGTGACCTTTAAAGTTCAAATGTATAATGCCAGAAGAGTACTTCTAAAATCTCCAAAAATCTTTAAGCAAGTTATTCCAGCATTTCTTGCGGGTACAAGCAAGCCTTCGAACAGTTTTCGATGGCTGTTCGCGACAAATATCCAGAGATGTCCGTTGAAGGAAGCAATTATCCTCCTGTTAAATGGAAGGAATACCTAGCTCATGTAGGATTTTATCTGAGTGTATTTGTTTTTTTGGGGAGAGCTGCTTATAAATTTTGCAGACTATCAATATCTTGAAAATTGCCGCAATTGCTATCGTCATCACTGGCAGAAATCCATTCGCCAGCTTTGGAATGGGCGAGCCTGCTATATTACAGTGGGCGCAATCAAATAAAGTAAAAGAATTGCTGAAAGTCAGATTTGTCACAAAATCTAGTACATCTAGATTTCTGCTTGTATGATGCTATTCCTTCTAACAAATATGGTAGAGAGTACGCTGCTGTCAACTGGAGCTTTTGAAATTTTCTTGGACAGAGAGCAGATTTGGAGCAAACTTGAAAGCGG